TGTGCCTTGGGATTTGCCCAAGCACCTCGCATCCCAGTTTGGAGCCTGTCAGTCCCAGCGCACGACAACATCTGGATGCGGATGATGTGGACAGAGGCGGGCAGCCTCCAGGGCTTTAGGAGAGCTGCTCACATCATCATACTCCAGGTGGCCACACAGTGGGAATTCACCCACCTTTGCCTTCCCTCGGCCGAGGTCACAGATGCGAACCTTGGCATCAGGGACACGCAAAACGGGACTTTGCGTAGGGCTTGTTCTTATAATAGCGCTAACATCGGGCAGGACAGCGGCCCAGGGGGACACCAGGATTGAGGTGGCACACCGAAGGAAAAGAAAAGCTCCCAGGTCTGCACACGACTTAGAGTCCGCCTTTTTTCCCCTCTTTCTAAAGCCCTCCCATCTTCTTGCGCAAGTACTGTAGAGTTCCCTAGACTGAGCGCGTAGGGACGCTCTTCCACTCCATCGAGACCATAAAGGCAGCAGCGCTGTGCGCCTGCGCCTGCGTGCCTAGCGTGGCACGTGCACACAGCTCCTGGGTGGGTGGCTGGCGATGGGGAGCTAGTGCGTGGCGGGGCAGCGAATGGGGCCTCGCTGCATGGGAAGGCTGCGGGTGGGATTGGGGACCGAGTTTTCGCCCCAGCTGGGCCTTCACTGTGAAAGAACTATGGTTCTCGAGTGCAGTGGAGGGTTGGTCCCCAGGGTGGGCTTGGGACAGCCGAGCCTGGATTTCCCAGAGGGCAGGGCCCAGGCCGCACGCTGCGCCCTGGTCATTCCTGGGGCAGGGAATGCTAGGCAGGTGATTTTGAACAGAACTTGTAACCACTACATCACCAGAGCTCCTAAGATCAAGCACAGCATCTTTCAATATGGATTACAAGTTAATGTAAAGAAAAGAAAAATCGTCACAATGAGACCAATGGTAACGTCAAGATAATGAAGGATTTAATGTTCTTTGGATACACAATGCTCATGTAAGCAGCAATTCTAAGATTAAACCACATATTGCATTGGGTAAAGGTGCTGCAGTTAACTTCTTTAAAGTGTTGAAAATCAAGCATGTTACTTTTAGGGCTAAGTTGTGCCTGACCCAAGCCTTATATGTATGTGATGTGATGTATGTTGGATACGGAATAAGAAAAGACTGAAGTACAGATGCATTTGAACTATGGTGCTGGCGAATAATATTCAAAGAACCAGGGACTGCCAAAAGAACAAACAAACCTGTCTTGGAAAAAGTACAGCCAGGATGCTCTTTAGAATCAACAATGGCGAGATTTTGTTTCACCTATTTTGAACGTATTATCAGGAGAGATCAGTCTATGGAAAAGGAGCTCATGCAGAGGGGCAGTGAAAAAGAGGAAGACCCTCAAGGAGAAGGATTGATGTCTTCAGGGGTTGGTGCGCTAGAATGGGATCTAGTCCCCTTTCTCTCTCTTTCCTTAGTTTGCCCCCATGTAGGCGAGGAAGGCCTGCTCATCTCCCTAGCGTGTTGCTTGTGTTGTCCCCTATATCACATTCTTCTGGGGAGGTGGTCAGCCTAGCTCAGATAACTGTAATCTGCTTTATGGAAGCAGATTGGCAGGACTTTCTGCCATGGAGCCGCAAAATGGATTTGAACAGCCAGTCAGTAGTTGAGCACTTAACCATTTGCATCACCAGGACACCTGTGGCTGGTAGCTGTCATATTGGACATATAGATATGGAGCATTTTCAACCTTATAGAAATTTCTGGAAACAGGAAATACAGATAAACCCCTCAGGACCAATACTGAGAGTAGCCATACCAGGAGGGTAAGGGGAAGGTGGGGGAGAAAGGGAGAACCAATCAAAATGATCTACTTATAACCCCCTCCCAGGGGGGTGGGCAACAGAAAAGTGGGTGAAGGGAGACATCTGTCAGTGTGGGACATGAAAATAATAATTTATAAATTATCAAGGGTTCATAGGGGAAGGAGGGAAGGGGAGAAATGAGAAGCTGATACCAAGGTCTCAAGTAGAAAAAAAATGTTTTGAAAATGATGATGATGATAACAAGTGCACAAATGTACTTGACACAATGGATGTGTGTATGGATTGTGATAAGAGTTGTATACATCCCCAATAAAGTGATAAAAAAGTACTAAAAAAAGAAAAAAAGAAATTCCTATTGGAAATGTGGAGGTTTAGAGAGTTAACACGATGAGTTCAAATTAAAAACAAAATTCCAAGCTAAATTTGAACCCGTGCAGCCCATGTATAAAGTATCTAATCCCTATAATTATATATGCAAATAAACACACACATGAGGGATACAAAAAAAGGAATTTTTTTTCAACGCTATATAAATTAAAAAAAAAAAATAAAACAACGGTATCACCTTCAAAGTACTCTCCATTATACTTAATACATTTGTCAAATCTGTGATTCCATTCTTGGAAACATTTTTCACACTCATCTGTTTGGAAACATTTTTCACACTCATCTGTTTGGCTGGCTGACAGCACCTCCCTTGTTTTGTCTCCACTTCGGTGTTGTCAAGTCACTGTCCTTTCAAGTCCCTCTGCTTTTGCAGAAACAAGTCAGGTAAGTCGGTGCACGGGGGCATGCTGGTGTACTGAGGTGGCTGCGTGAGCCGGTGCATTGTCACAGTGGAAAAACCAGGCCTAGGTCTGCAATAAATCAGGCCTTTTTTGTCGCACACTGTTATGTAATCTTTTCAGAACTTCTAAACAGAAAGCCTGATTAACAGTCTGACCTGGTGGAATGAACTCCAAATGCACTATGAGTCGACATTTTCATTTGTTCAGGAAGTTAATGGGGGTCCACAATGAGGTTTGTCATCAATCAACATTTTACCTTTTTTGAAATGAGAAAACCACCTAAGCTGTGTTCAATATCACAATAGTTTCTGCAGCATTTTTCCTGAGCAGGAAACAAAAATTCACAGCCGCATGCTATTCCCTTAAATCGGCCATCACAAAAAATGAGGTTCAAGCGAAACTACTTTTATGAAAAATTCACTGTGACCAGAGAAAACCTTCCCAGGCGATGCCACTGGGTGTACTAACTCAGAGCAAGTTGTTCCATGTTTGCCAACAGGAAAAATGTGTACTACAAAAGGTCCGCCTAGCGGATCTGTTGTCTGTTTTTTGGGGGTTACCCCTTTATATGTATGTATGTGTGTGTATATATATACATACATACATACATACAGTATATACATAACTTTTATTATGGATTATTTAAAAAGAAGAAAACATAAGAAATATGTCACTCAGCTTCAACAATTATGAAGCCATCAAAGCCCCATTTTTAACCATCATTATACAATGAATGCAGTGTTACAATTTCTCCCCCCTTCTCTTCCTTAATATTACTTCAATGAAAATTTATCCCTTGTGCCGAATAGAACATAGGGAGGCAGTGTGACACAATGGTTAAGCGAATAGAAAGTGCACAGAAAGCAGCTAAATCTGGATTCAAATTTTGACCTGCAACAAAGCTAACTGCTCAGAGGACATATAATCTCCTCAGTGTTGACTTTGCTCATCCTACATAGCTATTATTATTATTTATATGAAACTTATCAGCTTTCTTATTTTAATTCTTAATAAATATTGAAAGAACTTTATTTGATAATTGTAAAGATGATAATATTTCCTCACGATTTTCCTGTATCCTACCCTTCAAGGTTATAAAGGTGAAATGAGACTATTATAAAATAAAACAAATATGTAAAATACAACAAAAATATGCAACCTGGGCAAGTTTCATTTGGGCTTCCTATCTCAATTTTCCTACGATACACAAGTATCTGGTGAATGGTGACATACTTTCTATTTTTCCTAATATTTATTTGTGGAACAATTAATTAATATTGACAATCTAAAGGGAGTTTCAAAAAGCTTCTGGAAAGATGGAAATAAAAGATAATGCATTTTTTCCATTAATCTTTTGAAGATCTTTTAAATATTTGAAATCTTTTAAAATTATAAATATAATTTTAAACTTTAAGTTTAATCAAATAATCATTGCTATTTATTTTGAAGTTTAAAAATAAAATGTAAAGTAGTGTATCATATTTAATAAATCAAGATCTAGAGTAAAGTTCTAGATCAATTATTTTGAGAGGGTAGAAATGTGAGGGGAAGGTAATTATTTTTCTGATTTATTGAAAAGAAAACTCATACTCTGCAGTGAATTACCAATATGCCAATTCTGATGATGCAGTTGAGGAAACTTGGACTTAACTACTACTTTCTTACTGTTTCCCAGTCTCTTGATTTAACAATTTCTACTCCCAATCTCTCAGCTTAAAACATTTGTGTCATTTAATACTTAATCAAAAAAGTGTAAATTATCAAATAGAAAACCAACCAACCAGTTATCCACTAATTAAAACCTCTTTCTTTACACATTTCACTTCAATGTAAAAGAATTGGAATGATGATATGCAAGAACATTACAGAATAGGACTGGTTTCTAAATGGAACAAGTCTTTTAGATACGCGCACAAGTAAGAAAACATTTTCCATCTAAAGAAGTGAAAGGAATTTATATATTTACATTTAGCTTTTTTTTCATGGGTGGGTTTTCACTTAAAGGGTCAGGAGAAGAAAAACCTAAAAATTCCTTGGCAAAGTCAACAGAAATCTAAGTAAATGTGTACTTTTACCTGTTTAAAATGTCAATTTGACCCCATGAGTGGCATGTGGATCATAATCCTTCTCTCCTTTTGGTCCAACCCATATTCCACTATAGAACCGGAGGGAAGAAGTAAAGGAGAGCTGCTTTGTGCTCCAAGAGGGGCAGAGTGACTGTTGTTAAGGGTAACATTGTTATTTTCAGGGTGAGAATTCTGATCTTAAGGTAGAATGTGAACACCTGACATGATGTGATCTAGTTTTTCCAAGGAGAAATCACAGTACTTCAAAGGCAACTTCATTCTTTTCATTTACACCTGGAATGAGTACAGGGCAGCATATATTTGCTATTCATAAAAAGATCTGTAGATGGCTTACCTGACATCTGTCTCAAGTTGTGCGACACATTCCTTTAGTGAATCAATCTTGGAATCTCTCTGGCGCACGGACTCTATAAGATACCTGTACGGTTGCTGTGTTTGGTTTAGCAGTGAATTGGCCCTGTCAAGCTAAAGAAAAACAGACTTTATTAAAATTTAGAAAATTTCCAACAAACTAAAATTACTCAGAATGTTCTCGTACACATACAGCATACCAACACTCCTTTATATAAACTGTTTGAAAATGTTTTCCTTCTGTAATTTTTGAGGATTAAAAGATTGTCAATAAATATTGCTACTCTTTATAATAATACAAACGATGTGAATAGGAATGGAGGTTTTTAAATA